CATTAAATTCTTAGATAATAATTTAAATGTAGACAAATCAACACTTTTATGTTACATTCATATTCGAGTTTAATAATATATTAATATTACATAATGCTTGTGGGACAATACTCTTTTTCACTACATTATACTTGTCAATGATCCTGCAGGGTTGTGCGATTTCACTGATCAAAGTTTCGGCAATATTGCCAATGATTAAATTTTTAAGCTAAATTTATTGATTTGTAATTGGATTCTAGCAGTTTTGTTGTTTTTGGCTATTCATCACATACCTGATCTCTTATGTTCTATCCTTTTCAGGTACTATTTAGCATTTTATTCAAGATTTTGATGAACTCGAACTTCTATAGTCAGATCTTGAGATCGAAAGAGCCTTTAGACAGTGAATAGCAAGGAAAAGGGAAAGAAAAACATAAATGGTCAAAAATCAAAATCAAAATTAGTTACCACGAGCTCGACCAATTATAGAGGTTATCAACAAAGGCGGCATGCTAGTTAGGGACTATTTGATCTTCATTCCAACACCTATTCGGCCCAGCATCATATATCTTCCTTTTCGACAAGCTAATGACCATTTTCAACCAGATTTCATCAATCTATTCCAACATCATCAGGATATTAGTTTCTAGAAAATCCACATGATCACATTTGAGCTTTTCTACTTCTCTGTGAAGTCTTTACTCATGAAAGGATAACAACATGTGAACTATTGTTTGTCCTCAAACAAGATAGTGACTTAATTCTGAACAAACATGACTTAAAACCCTGTTGTGGCTCAGGATTGGGCTGAGTATTTAAAAATTTATCTGTGCAAACATGACATCAACCTTTACCTGTTTAATGCAAATTGACGTGCGTGTGTGAATTCATGCCAACATATGAGGTTTATGATAAATTTGAGTCCCGACCCCAAGTGGTCAAATATATCCTTACTCGCTCGAGAGATACACAAACCCCCAAACTTATTCTTTTCACTCAATTATCTCAGGGTTGTGTTTTCAGGTTAGGAATTTATATAGTTGTAGTCCTCACCCTCTCGTAGTTCAGATTTAGCATTACTATCACAAGTCTACATTTCAAAAAGTGAAGCCTCTTCTAGATTTGATTGCTTTGACACTCAAGATCAAACTAGATTACTTGTCTCGCCTCAGAGGTACAGTCTCTTCAACCAAATGTCTAAGAGCTTTTCGTCATGTTTTGTCTCTTTTTTGTTTTTCTCACATTTCTTTAATTTCTGATTGATTGTCATCTTCTCATTTGCTTTCTATATATAACCCATGTAATGGGCTTTAGACCGGTGACTCCCAAACCAGTTGGCTGTAGAGCACCAGATTTTAAACCCTTGCAGGCTTATTCACTCGAGTTATAAAGCTCGATAAGATGACTTTTTATTAACTACTTTCCCTCTTACTTTCTATATGACCCATGTAACGAACTTTGGGCCGGTGACTCCCAAACCAGTTGGCTTTAGGGCACCAAATTTTGAAATATCCTTATAGGCTTACTTGCTCGAGTCATAAAAGCATGAAAAGAAGTATTTTATTCTCACATATAAAAATTGTGCCCTTTGTCATTTTTCTAGACATTTAGTTTCCAAAACCAACCCCCAATTTAAGATTTTCACCTACTCTTCATCCCACTGGTCTAGGTAATCCACACAATAAATTTCATACACGGAGCGCCCACTCATCTCAATGCTTCCTATGATAGCTCAACCATCACCAAATTGTCTTTAGGTAGTTTATGGGTTAATTCAATAGAGGGTTATCATTCTTTTCCTACTTTATGCTCAAAATTCAGTCATTCACCTAATATGTCAAGCATGAATAGCATGCATAGATAATGTCAAGTGTTTCAATTAGTCTAGTTAACACCAGATCCAAAGTTTTGCAGTTTAAACTAGTCCAATAATAACATCATAGCGAACAAGGTTATTAAGCCCACACAAGCATGCATGAAGAGAATTAAAACAAACTAAATAAAATGCAAGAAAATTTATTTATTTATTTATTATTAATTAATTTTTTTTGACACTCATCATGCATACATTATGCAGTAATGAAAAACAGATAATGATGAACACAGATAAAGATTTAAAATTATGTCACCCTCCCCAAATTAGTTAATACATTCTCCTCAATGTAAGATTAACAAAAGATTAACGACAAAATTTTAAGGACAAAATGAAGAAGAAGAATCAAAATGGGATAAACAATACTCCCCTGATCAATACATTGAAAATCAGCTTACTTCAATTCAGAATTTGGAAAAGTCGTTAGAGCATATAGCGGCTAAATTGTCAAATAGAGCACACCTACTGAGCACATAGAAACAAATCCTGGAGAATAGATGTTAGATATCAAGGTCATAAAGAATGATAGTGTCGACTTGTCACCAATCATAAAATCTACCCCTATAAGAGCTTATTTATCTCCAATTCCATTTCATCAAAGGCTTCAAAAATGGCCTAAAGAAGAAAAGGTTCGGGACATAATTGTGATAAGAACATTATGTTTGGTGATTTTTCAAACTTCTTTGAGAATCTTGAACACGATATTCCATGATATCTCCACTTCTTTATGAATCATTATCTACCAATATCTATCCATATGATAGCTGTCAAATCGTCTAGCGTTCAATAGTAATCCACACAAAAAGAAGAAGAATGAGAGATTAGGATTCCTTTTCTTTTCTTGTGTATGCAAGCTTAGGAATGAATGTTGTTATAAAATCTCAAACCTAACTTTTTATTTATAGATGATTAATTGGACTTCATCAATTAAACAAAAGTAGGTCCATTAGTTAATTAATAAAGTTATTAATCTTGACAAATAAATAAACAACCCTATTAATTAAATTGACAAATATTTCACACTTGTCAATTAGTTAATTCTTGTCTCATTATTCTAGTTCTCGCATTTTTGTGTGATTCATTAGGGTCCCAATCACAATACCAAACGACGTAAATTATTATTTTGATCTAATCAAAATAAGAAAAATTAAAACTCTATTTTTAAGTTATCATTAATTCACATTCGTCATCCCTGATAATAGATGCGGTTTGTCAAGGCAATATGTGTGACAAAAAATGTCATGTTAGTGTGACAAAATCAAACTTATTTGATTACCATGAAACTATAATTGTTTCGTCAATATAACCCAGAAAATTATGAGATATGACAATGTGTCAATCTCGATTTAATCAATCATATCTTTCATCATGTTTAAGTCAATTATCTTTGGAACTCTTTTCGACTTATGAACTCAAATTGGCCAAAGATTTCTATATCAACTAAAGCGGATGAAACATAGTTCAAATCCTTACTATCTAAAAGTAACAAATCTCTCTATTGATTATTCACAACCTTGATATGATTCTTGCTATACCAGAATGATATTCTTAACAAAGCAACATCTAACATCTCTAAAGTATGACGGTCCTAATAAAAAGTACAATGAAGACCTCAAGTAGAATGGTCAATTCTACTACCTAACATTAGAAATTAACTACTGACATTGAGATAGCTATCCATGTGAAATTTTTGTAGTGGGTCTCCAACTTTTTTTTATCTTAAGAAAACATCAATGCCTACATTTAAAAGGCACTATATTTTAGCTTGTGAGAACAACTAATCACTTTATAAGTGAGAAGTACTACACATGCTGATCTATCTGCAATAACGATATTCGTATCTCGTTATTTTTCATACTACAAATAATTCAAGATTCAGTCATATATAACTTGTATCTCAATCACGACTTCTTGTGATTAACAAGTTATTGAGACTTGAATCTACGGACTTTATTAATTTAATTCGTCATAATAATAATACAATTAAGATAATATATTTGTCACAAATAAAATACATCTATTAAAGTAAATGTTTACATCCTAAAATCAATTGGACTTGGGACATATCACTCAAACTATATAGATGGTGGTATGCATGACCACTTAAATGTATGATATCTTTTGTATAATATTTGAATTTTTTTATAATATCTTTCATGTTTAAAATATTATTTATATACTTTTAGGCCATATTTGTTTTTCATTTATATAAGAATGAGAATGAAAAATATAGTCGTTACAGACTCCACAAAAAAAATAGAAATTCAAATATGGTGGCTTAATGTAATGAATAACGATCATATTTTTAATTTTAATAAAGAAAAAATGGAAAACAAACAGGGGCTTATTGGAGGACCAGTGTAATATCAATTCACAGTGAATAATAGCCATATACTATTTAAGTATAATATATCTCGTGTTAATGTTCTATTATCTTACTAATATCTTCGTATACTTTTAACAGTATATGGTCTGAAGGAAAAAAGAATATTGAAATTTATTTCATTGTCTTACTTTGAAGCTGAAAAGGATGGTGTGTGGTCCAGGATCTCACTCAAATAAAACATGTATAATAAGAAGAGAATATCTAGATATGAACATTCTTAATTAAAACACTATCCCTAAAAAATGCAAATATTGGATGGATGTTATCAAACACTGTCGAATCAACAATTTGGAGATGATAATTTTTTCCTGACTAGAGGATACTCCAATTTAAACCTAGCTATCTCATTTACTATAGTACATAATTAAGCATAAAAAAACTTGAATATCTACACATTTCCCTTATTCTATACGTGTTGAAAATTTCCTAACGTGTCTTGCAGAAATAGTACGGTTACAAGTTCACATAATTGAGGCAAAAATAAATATTTCCACATGTAGAGATTCTATGAAATCTGTTGCCATGATTTGGTTAATCAATTTATCTTATTACATTTTAAAAGCCCCCCCGTCCCCCAACAAATACATAGATATTTTGGTGATGAGCCCACGTCACATCTCTCCCTATTACCATCTTAAATTTGGACCATTTCTCCTACCATATGTTAAACAATCCCGCTATATGCACAAAAATGGTGGACAGTTTTTTTGATAGATTGTCAGCTGTCAAGATTTAATTGGATGTTAGACAAAAAACACAGTTCAACCAATCAATACAGTGTTGTCACATGTACATCTATAATGCTTTCTTCACATTTTATGTGTATAATGAGCTTAGTTTATCGTTAAATTACCCATGTGTTTTTCATTCCTACAGCATTCTTTTATATATCCCTCGTAGATAACACTCATTTCGTGTCCAATTCATTCAAATTCTCACACTTTACAACAATGGAAAAAACTGAAGCTGCACAACCAACATGGGCTGAACTGCTAGGAAGCAACAACTGGGAAGGGCTCCTTGAGCCCTTAAACCTCAGCCTTCGGAAATTCATCCTTCGATGTGGCGATTTCTGTCAAGCCACATACGATGCCTTCAATGATGACCAAAATTCCAAGTACTGTGGTTACTCAAGGTATGGAAAGAACACTTTCTTCCAGAAAGTTATGCTGGAATCGGCATCCAATTTCCAAATCTACAGCTTTCTCTATGCCGCGGCCCAGGTTAGTGAAGGCGAAGCTCTCCTATTTCACTCAAAATCACGTGAATCATGGGACAGGGAATCCAATTGGATTGGCTATATTGCCATCACCACCGATGAAGTTAGTCAACAATTAGGCCGCCGTGAAGCTTACGTTGTATGGCGCGGTACAAAACGAGCTTATGAATGGCTAGACGATTTACATCCAACTCCGGAGTCCTTTGAACAATCGTTACAACCCATAGCTTTTCTAGACAGCTATAAAGATGATGAGAACGTGCCAAAAGTCATGGAAGGTTGGCTGACAATCTATGTTTCTACTGATCCCAATTCACCTTTCACAAAACAAAGTGCAAGAACTCAGCTTTTGGCAAAGATTAAAGAAATTAGGAACCAGTATAAGAGTGAGAATCTGAGCATAATAGTCACAGGTCACAGCCTTGGTGCAAGTCTATCTACTTTATCTGCATTTGATCTTGTTCAAAATGGAGTTACTGATATTCCTGTATCTGCCATTGTTTTTTGCTGTCCAAAAGTGGGAAACAAAGCTTTCAACGATAGATTGAATCAATTCTCGAATCTGAAAGTTTTACACATCAGGAATAAGATTGATCTTATACCCCAGTACCCAATGTTTTTGGGATATTCACACACAGGTATCGAGCTACAAATTGACACTAGAAAATCCCCGAGCTTAAAGGACTCGAAACAACCTTTTGACTGGCATAATTTGGAGGCTAATTTACACGTGGTGGCGGGTTGGAATGGAGCTGATGGAGAATTTGAATTGAAGGTGAAGCGGAGCTTGGCTTTGGTCAACAAGTGTTGTGGCGCTCTCAAGGATGAGTATTTTATTCCAGAATCATGGTGGATTGAGAAGAATAAAGGAATGGTTCTTAATAATAATGGAGATTGGATTTTGGCAGAACCATCAGACGAGGACCAACCTGTGCCTGAATTCTGATTCTTACATTCCATCTACAATTTGCGACATGAGTCATATTCAATCTATTACGCCATTCTATCTGTAATAAAAATAAAGATGTAGCACAATCATTTTTCGTACCTCTTTGTATGATTCTAGTAAAATTTCATATGTACCAGGTTTGATTATGTAATGTTTTCAAGTTTGCTATTTCTTTTAGGTAAACTAGTTTGAGATAAATAAGAAACGTACAGTTTATGCAAGTAATGATATAGCATATGATTAACTTGGTTTACTTTCAGTGGAGGTCACTGAGCTTTCATCCTAGTTGCAGTCGAGTCATTGAACTTTCACCCTAGTTACAATCAGGGCACTGACTATTCAACCTAGTTTCAATTCACTTTATTGACTGCATGAATCAGAAAAATGCTTTATGAATCAATTTGAAAATTTCCACATACTTTTTAATAACTTGTGAAATTAACCCAAGAAAATTCGATTAATAATTATGAAATCTACATGTATCAACACGTTCAATTAAAAGAAAAAAAGAAAAAAAAAAAGGTGCACTACCAAATAGATTGCAGGAAAGAACATTAACATTGTGAACTCACTTAGTGTATTGCTTATCCAAACTAGATGCAATGGGCCATTGTTATTTGGATTTTTATTCAAACTACCGGTAGTACCCCAATGACTGATGTTAACATTAAATATTAAACCTTCATCATTGAATGTTGATTGTGTGTGTCGATCCCTCACACCCCATTTTCCACTCACACCTTGCATGATATAGACATATACCTCCTCTTAACAAAGATATTCGGGATTCATATCTTTTTACAATATTCCTTAACTCATTGCCATTTGGAAACTTTTTATTTCTTGAAACTTTGTGTATGCTTAAGGATGAATATGTCTTGAAAAGCATTGATAACATAAAACGTAATAATCAAATATTATGTTCACATAATAGTAAATTTAGGAAACACATTTATACATTTAACAATGTATGGTATATATGAAGACAGTGGAAGGTTTACTTACTTAAAATTCTTAGCAATTTACTTTTCGAAGGAAAAGTGGAGATATCCCTTGTCACCTACGAAGTCAACGAGCCAAAATTCCTAATTCATTACTATTAATTAATAAAAGCAAACTGTAACAACCTCGTCGTTCATTGTTACGATATTATTAAGTTGATTAAAGAGAATTCCATCAGAACATTTAGAATTATCATTTGTTAAGTTGATTAAATAGAATTCCATCATAACACCATCTAGAATTATCGTTTGCCGGGCAGAAAAATAAAAAGTTTTAATATTGAGCCCTTGTTTGACATTATATTCCATTACATTCTATTTCTCTCTCTTCTATTTTCAACTACACAATCTTCCATAAAATAATATTACATGTAAATCGAAATTTTTTCATTCTTTTTCAACAACTCATTTTTTCAAAAAAATACTATTCATCTAATTTTCATTACCAAAAATGGGGGCCAAATGGGGGCTGAGTGAAGACTAATTTAATTTTATACGCATCAAAATTTATTTTTGATTTAGTCCCTCTTTGATAATCATTATTTTCAAACTCTTTTTCATAAATACTTATTTTTAATTACACATTTACACAATAAAATATTCTATACGTAATCCAAAACTCTTCCTACTTTTAATTATAGATTCTCCTTAAAATAACTTTTCAATACTTTATTTTCTCTAAATAAGATAAGGTACACTAAGATACTCAAAAAATGATATGCAGGACACTCAAGATACTTACAAAATGACATGGAGGACAATAAAGTCAGGCAAGAAAGACTGAACATAAGACGTCTTGATATGTAGAAAAGGTTTGGATCAAGTATGTCATAGAACAAGCAAGCAATTTACTTATTTTATTCACTACCAAAATCAATTTAAAAATAGAAATTTATAATGATTTGTCTATATGTATATAAATAGTTTTTAAATAGTGAACAAAGTATAATCTTTTTTCTTTTCTAAATTAAATTTATCACTAGGAAACTATATTATAGAGATAAAACAGTCATGCTATAAGTAGAGATAATTTTGACAGAATGTTTACAGACAACACTTGTAGTGCATTCAGTGGAAGATGGAAAAAAATAAAAAGAAATAGGCGAATCACATTTCACCACATCAAATTCGGTAACAAATCTGTCAAAAAATTCCTATACTTACGGCTTCTGTCGAGATAAAACTTGAGAAATGACTTAAAGACAGAGAAAAAGTGAAAGCCATTCCACGTCATTTATATACAGCATACTAGTGTTTTGCCCGTTGAATGTATGGGTTATGTTATTTTGAAGGTAATGTTATCGATTCAATGTTAAGCATTAATGAGAGAGGTTAACCAAATTAAAATATGTAGAAGACCTAATTTAATTTTCTTGTTCAAACTTCCAATGGTTCTTGTATATTACGAGACAAATAACTATCATGAATGAATCAAATAAAATTGATCTTTTCTATACTAACAAGGTTATATTGAATCTCATAACACATTTGATAGAATAAGAGCAATAAAATAATAAAATTAGGGTTGGGATTTAGGAAATCACCCAACTAAGAAAGAATACTAACAAAATAAGCAAAATCATGTATATTGATAAAAGGATAGAAACCAACCACGGCCATAGAAGGCATATTTAGAACGAGAATATGGAGGATTTTATGAAACATGGTGTTTTCAATAGCTAATAAACATAGTTATTTTTTAAAAAACACGGACAACAACACAAAGTCGAAGAGTAAGCTCAACCAGCATACAAATAAAAGAACATAACCAAGATAACTACTTTAAACATTGAAAGAACTTCCTTCAAGATTCATTGGAGAGAAGACTGATAATGATTGGGGGTGAGGCTAGGAAAAGATCGAATAAATTGAAGTATCAACTTACTGTTTTTTTCTCATATTGAGAGATGTCCATAATCTGTGAGGCAGCGTGACCTTCTTATTGTTGGCAGACGATGTCTCGATACAACTTTTAAGAGATGGAACAAGCCTGATTTTCAGGATCCTTGACTGGCGTACAAACTAGAAGAAGCCAATATAAGGAAAATAAGGTATAGGCAGCTTGTTCGAGGAGAATGGATGCTGGATGGCTTGTCTAACATAACAAGAACATTAATTGAAACTATTGCTTATTCATTAAATTTAAAATATATAAACTTTTTACATAATTTCCAGGATCTTTATGTCAAATCACCAAGAAAAATAATTAATGTGGAACATATTTTGATCCAATGATTTGTATTTTCAATAATGAATCTTGAATTATATTATTTGAATTGTCTTTCGGATCTTTAATCTTGATTTTTGATTATGAATTCTACTTCTTGATTCTTGAACGTAGGTTGGATGTTTTTTATTGTGGGTTTTTGATCTTCCTCTTCAATATGTTTTCTTTATAATTCTTGTGTTGATGGGAGATGCAAAGAATGAAAAATTACATGTGAATTGAAAACCATAACCCTGTATATAGTTCCCATATGTATTTTGCCCATCATGAAATACAATTCTAGAGGAATCTGATCTCTACACATTATCTAGCCCACACTTTATTTCGATTCCCTAAGCCCAAATACTTAATTCTTTATTAGATCATTTTAATTTTGGGCTTAACTTTAAAATAGCATTTATATACATAATTACACACGTCAGCCCACATAGCAAATTAACAATTTTCCAGCAATCTCCCCACTTGGGTTACATAAATTGCCTTATAAACTTTATGAGTTCAATACTTTTGTATCATAACCAAAAGGCATCTTCGAACAATTTCGTCCATTAATTATGCTAATATAGGATCAAAGTTGTCTTCATTACAATTATCAACGGTAACGTATATCAACACAATCAAATGACATAGATCAAGTGTGGATTGTAGCATGAAAATTACATGCAATATGATCTGAACATGCCTATTTTCAACTGGTCCTACCTTATGAGATCAAACCAAAACATTAGTCAAAGTGAAACTGAATTGAATACTTTATTTCTGACATAAATCGAATATCCATGGATAGAATTATGTATCCAAAACAAATAACATCCGAATACAAATTCCTACTAAACTGAGATATCATCAAAAGCAACACTCATATGAGCAGTATGCTCATAAAAGATCTTAGGTGATAGCCTCTCAGTAAGAGGATCCGCAATTATAGAGTTTGTCCCAATTATTTTATAGAAAGCTGAACACTCTGAATTATTTCCTTGACAAATAGGAACTTAATGTCTATAGACTTTGACATCATCAAACTCCTGTTGCAATACAAGATTGCTATTGTCACAAAATAACTAAAGTGGTCATTCAAATCCATCCAAAATGTGCATCTAGCGACAAAATTTGATAGTCATATTCCATGATCAAAGTCAAAATATCTAATGATCTCCAATTAGTTTGATTTTATTGAATGTGATTATGTAATCCTTAGTTCTCTATTAACCCCGAATAACCTAATTAGCTGCTTTACAAATATCTATCAAAGAGTTATTTAAATATCTATGTAGCATCCAATCAATGAATGTACGTATGCAAATATTAGCATATAATAAACTCCCAACAGCTGAAGTATAGGGAATTTTTCGTACTTTCCTTTCTTTAATTTTATCATTAGGGCATTAATTGAAACTAAAGTTGTCTCCCTTAATAATAGGGGTATCACATGGTTTACATACCTGCATCCCAAATCCTTTAAGAATTTTATTGATATAGCTCTTTTGTGAAAATCCAAATATACCACGAGAACGATCCCAATACATTTGTATTCTCGACATAAAAGAGGCGTCAGCAAGATCTTTCATTTCAAAATTCCATGATAGAAATCTCTTAGTTTCATCCAATAATCATTTATCATTATAGGCAAATAGTTTGTCATTGACATGTAATAGCAAAAAATACATTGAACTTATGATATTTATAATCATTAACCGAATTCATCCCAAAACTAAACGAGATAATTATTTGATGAAATTTGTAATACAATGAACGGGAAATTTGCTTAAACCTATAGGTAGATTTTTCTAATTTGTAAACCATCATATGTAGTTTAAGATCAATTGTCATAATAGTTTTAAAAGAGTTTTTTGTAGAAATTGAAGAGAAAATCTCTTTATAAACTCAATGTCTTATTTTGAGTAAAGTCATTTGCAACAAGACGAGTCTTTTATCTCTCCACATCATCATTTGAATCTCTCTTGGTTTAAATGTCCATTTACAACCAATAGAT